TGGTCAACTTTAGATTTGGTTTGGTTATTTGGGGTGCTGATTCAGAAAATTGCATTGGATAGACCACATCAGCTCAAGTTTCTGATGCAGAACATATGTCATCCAGGAGTTGCCGTCTGCTCCCCCACAGAAAACCATATTTAATAATCTAGAGCTGATGTGGTCTACCCAAGGGGGCAGAGCTGGTCAGCGACAGAGAAGGAGTGGCAGGCGGCACAAAAGGAGTGGAAATAAAATAACTAAATAAAGAGGAAGGAGGCTCGTGAACCAGATTTTCATCCTTGTGGCCCAATGGTGGTCCGCGACCCACAGGTTAAGAACCACTGGTATAAATGGAAGAAGTAGAAGGGAAATAGATTAGAACAGGCCTATTTTGTCTGTCATTCCTTGCCTTGCAACCCAACTTCAAAAGTACAACCACTAGAAATATAGTGTACCGGAAGGATTCAAGACTACATGTGATTTTAGCAAACTTGTGCCATACTATATTTTCTAAACTCTTTGTCAACTGATTTCAGCTATTCTTAAATAATAGTGGAAACCGCAGTTGCACTGCTTGGGATTATTAATTGCTATTGTAAAATTTAACCAAAGCTAATGGTTCAAACAGCTTGCATAGCAACCACTTCAGCTTTATTCACAATGTTATACAACAGGACCCATTTTCTGTCTTTTAAGCTATGTTTATTACAATAGTGGTCTTGTGGTGTAGGAACTCCTTAAAGGAGCCAGAGTAGTGACTATCCTGGTGTGCCTTGCACAAGATGTACCTGCATATTGACAATTTGAACCATCACAGGTTTAGAGCAAAGCCAGACAAATTAACTGATGTAAACGTGGGAGACTCATTTAACCAAAGTTGTTTTGTATTTAACCCACAGGAACACAAACCCCCTTCTAAGCCTGCCAGGACAAAAATAAATAGTTTCATCTTTATGTATTCAGTTTTACAGCCTACGACTATCTATCTCAAGTGCAAATATCAGAGATGACTGTTCTGTTCAATGAGCCAGTGGATTCCATCTGGCTTGATTTGTCTATGGAATAAGAAAAGACATTTATATGTGCCTTCTTCTTTTGCTTCACACTTTTATTGTGAAGGTTTTGCTGACCTCAAAATTACTCTATATCTCTCCATATGTCATTAATAAGAATTTTTAATCACTACATAAAATTGTAGATTGATACCCAATTAACATTTATAATGAATCACAAGTACACTTCAAACTCTATTCAACTTGTCCTAAACATTTTGTTATTTTAGGGAAAGGACAAGATTCATATCTTACCCTTACCAATTACATGTATTAGCTGAATGAGTTGTATTTTCTTTAAATGTTGCCTGTGTCAGGGTAGGATTTTTTTTGGGGGGGGGGCACGGGAAACACAGGACAAATTGAAGGGAACAACACTGTGGAGTCCAAGAGAACAGTTGGGAGTTCATCACTGCTGCCCCTCAGCATATGTCACCTGCCAATAGAAGTAGGGAGTAGTCCTGATTCCCAGTAGTAGTGGCAACATCCCTTATTTTGGAGTTCAAGACAGACAGATCTTTCATACCTGCAGTCCCTCCATGCACTTGGAAGCCCTGATTTATCAGGGCTCTAAACCATATGGAGAGATGTCAACTGTAGAAGAGGCTTTTCTCTTCAGCATATTGTTTGCCATACAATAGGTGTGGAGATAGCCTTCTCCCTTCTGTCAAACATTCAGATTAACTCTGTTCAGAAGCTTGGATTGTCCATTGCCGGCTTGTGTTTGTTGTCTTTTGTAGTTGCCTTCTCTGAACATATTACGGTCTGTGCCACCCCACAAGTCATGCATGTGTTAGTTTTATCATGTAACACACACTGCTTGTGCTATCACGCGCTGGGCCTGTGAAAAGGTCTGTAGACAGGATGTGCTCTGCATGCCCAATGGGACGCCGGGGATGCCTCAGATTAGAAGCCCTATAGATTTCCCTAAACAAAGTCTTTAGAAACTTGGAAAGTTTAACAAAGTCCTTTATTAGTGCTTAGGTCTTCAATAAATCAAACAAATACTTCAAGGCTTTGAATCAACTGGTGGCTTTCTTAATCTTGTCCACAAGGGACAGGCAACTATCTTCATGAACTGTTTCTTCTCTATCAGGGAAATCTTTGACCTCTACCTGGGCAATCTGTCTTAGGCTATGCTGGTGTGGGCCCCTACACCCAGTCCAAATTGCGTTATGCTGCCGCGAGTGGTCCTTACCAAACAGAGTCCTTTTGTAGATTTCCAAGAGGAAAGAAGGTCTTCAATTCCCAGTGAAGGCTGGCTGTAAAGCTGTGGGACTGGATTCCCCCAGCAAAAACTATGCTTCTATGTAGAGCTGTGGGACTGAATTCCCCCAGCAAAAGCTATGAAAAACGAAGCTGACTCATGCCCTGTATGAAAGGCTTCTCTGTGAGGACTGAACTAGAGGTCTCTTTTTTCCCTCCTAAACCCAGAAAAAGGGGTGGAACTAAAGGACCTAATGATGATTGATGGGTCATTGGCCCTATAATTGCAAACCAAGGGAAGCCACCTTATTGCAAAATGCATGGAACTTTGAAATACATGCAAACACTCAAAGAAAGAAAAAGAAGCTGGAGCTCCTGGTACAGCCGTACCAGAACACTGCTCATATAACACACACTGCTCATATGACACTATATTGAAGCATCTATTCAGGCAAGCAGTTAGTTGCTACCATAGGGCTCTCACACACAGAGTTCTCAACCTCTGTGTGTCATGCAACATGCGACTTCTAGGAAGCAATGCAACAATTGAGTCCTCTCAATTTCTGAGTTACGCCAGCATGTTAGGACTAAAGGTGCGTAGCCTAATTTTCTCCCTGAATGTTTATGTGCCAGGGATTTTGATTTAAGGACAAAGTTCAAAGGGCAGATCTATCTGCATTGTAAAGTAATCCAGCCCCAGGAGGTGATCCTGCTGTGCGATAGCTCTAAATGTGTACTTTGGCATTAAGTAATTTCACATTTGCCTTTATGCCCCAGTTTTGTGCAACCACCTCCAATATTCCTCTGGTAACATCTGGTGTATCTATCTGAATATCTACTCAGTTTCTGAAGAAATCAAAATATGACATAAGTCAAATACGTTTTTTAAAAATCAGACATGAATAACTTTATCCAGTTAGCTTATTTCATGTACAAAACACTGACTGTGACAATAGTTAAGGAAGGAGAAAAAGACTTGATGGGAATAGGGTACATGTTCATTGACCCCAGGATACAGGCTGTTGCTAAAGAGAAACGATTTCTGCATAATGGTTTGATACAATAAAAAAAATGCCTTTTTTTAACTGAATACACATTGCTTCATGAGATAAATGTGATCATAAATAGTCCAAAGTAAATAAATACATAATATTTCTCAAACCACTGAAAACACACAGATAAAGGAAATATGCAACTTCAGTCAGTAATTTTAAGAAAAACTTGACTTTGTTCCAGAAAAGGAATACTAATGATCTGACACTGCACTCTCCTATCAAGCAATCTGTTTGGTATGTAGTGTATTGTATAGCACATTCTGCTTTTAATTACATTCAAGGCAAGAGGCTAGATTTATCTCAGTGCCCTACATTTATAAATGTGGGCAAACATCAGTGCAAACACCCAAAACATTGAATTAACAAGTAACTGTAGCATCTGAAGACTATTTGTTCCAAACCAAATAGGAATTTTCCATGACTCCAGATTTGAATACTCATTTGACTGGGATAGGCAACTTAACATGGCTGGGGTCCAAATCCTATATCCTACTGTGTTTTATTGCCAGTCACAGAAATGTCCAGAAATGGTAAAATATTTTCAAAACAGTCTGAATACAGAACTCAATTTCCAGTGTCCTTTCCTTTTGTTTGGAAGGGAGGTTGGGAGTGTTGGTGTGTGTGTTGGGTGTGTGTGTGTGTGTGTTAAAGACCACTTCTGGAGGCCTTGAGAAGAAAGCAAACAAATAAGGAAACAGGAAACCAATGTCAAGCTCAGTTTCCCCAAAAAGTAAATGTTTAAGTGTTACAGACAAGTGGGATAGATGGGATGGAAAATATGTTTGCCCATTCCACTTCAGATTTATGTGCCTATATATGTGGTATCGCTTTGTGCTGATACACCATCTAAATAGTGTGAGCATATGCAGAGTCATAACCCGGGATCTCCATTTTTTTCATTTTCAGGTGTTGGGATGGGATAGATTGGGCTTGCATGAATAGGTGATCAAGTAATGTTGGTCCAAACTGTCTGGAATTACCTTGATTCTTGAGAATACAGGATTTATAAAAGCTGCACTTTTGCTATTTGTGTCCAGAGGGATTTCAAGGCACATGTAAACTCTTGAACATCTAACTCATTCCAGCTTCAGAAGTAGTTTCACCACAGCCACTGACATCTTTAGCCCCACTAAGTAAAAGTAATTTCCTCATCCATCTTCACAACCCTCCATGTCCTCAGTCTGTTCAATAACATAAAGATTGCCTTAGAACACCGCTTGGCATTTGCCAATTTTGCTTTGCTGTCTGTTGGCTGCACAAGAACCTGCACAATTCATTTGACTTCAGCTTCCACATGAAGCCTTGACATCAACTAAGCCCTTTCCAAAGACCTTAAGATCTGCTGTATATGTTTGCACAGAGGTCCTTTGGGAAGAACATGAGTAGCATAGCCAGCTATACAGAGCGTTGAGCAAAAGTCTGTTTTTCTTTGAATCCACATAGTACAGAAACTGGATTTCTTCTTTCAATGATTGGTATAAATTACTTATGTTTTCTGCTCACTGTTACCTAGTAGCTAACTTTCAATTAAAACAGTAAGTAAAATGACAACAGATGAATAAATACATATAGGCAAAATCACAAGCAATGGTGTCTATTAATATTTACTTACTCTATTTGTATCCTGCCTTTCTCTACCCCAAAGGGGACTCAAGGTGGCTAATATAAATCGCTAGGCAAGGTAATATGTGTTTGCATTACTTACCATCAAAGTTCTTGTACTGGGCTGTTAAGATCACTTGCACTGAGCGCATGGCTTCTTTCAGCATCCCTTCAAATTCACTCTTGCTCTTGTTGGCAAAATTCTCCTCCATCTCACTGGTACAGCAAGTATAACCTTGCGGGCAAATCCTCAAGTGTTCCCCTAAAAAAGAGCAAGAAACAGTTATAAATGTGTATGTGTATTAACAGTTTTTAAAAGTTGTATAGTACATTTAAAATTGGCTTGAATCTCATGGTGAAGAAAGGTATGATCTGAAACAAACAAACAAAATCAGAATGTTTGACATAGCTATGAACATAAAAGAAATTTCTATTAGAGTGTAGAGGAGAGTGAAAAAATGTACAGCAATCTTTAAAGAGCTGATAATCCACCCTTTAAAGATTTCCTCTCTATCAAAGGAAAATCAGCAGTACCATTTTGGTTCGGCAAGGTTTCAGTCTATTTTTGAAGTCCTCAATTTTTTAAAAAAATCTATTGGGTTTATACCAAAAAAAAAAAATATGTCCTCACTCCACAGCCTGTATGTCAGTAGTTCTCAACCTTCCTAATGCTACGACCCCTTGATACAGTTCCTCATGTTGTGGTGACCCCCAACCATAAAAATATTTTTGTTGCTACTTCACAACTGTAATTTTGCTACTGTTATGAATTGTAATGTAAATAACTGATATGCAGGATGTATTTTCATTCACTGGACCAAATTTGACACATATACCCAATATGCCCCAATTTGAATACTGGATGGATTGGGTGGGGATTGATTTTGTCATTGGGGAGTTGTAGTTGCTGGGATTTATAGTTAATGTACAATCAAATAACATTCTGAACCAAACTTGGCACACAGAACTCCCATGACCAACAGAAAATACTGGAAGGGTTTGGTTGGCATTGACCATGAGTTGTGGAGTTATAGTTCACCTACATCCAGAGAGCACTGTGTACTCAAACAACGATGGATCAGGACCAAACTTGGCATGAATACTCAATATGCCCAAATGTGAACACTGGTGGAGTTTGGGGGAAAATAGACTTTGACATTTAGGAGTTGTAGTTACTGGGGTTTATAGTTCACCTACAATTAAAGAGCATTCTGAAGCCTACCAATGCTATAATTGGGCAAAACTTCCCACACAGAATCCCCATGACCAACAGAAAATACTATGTTTTCTGATGGTCTTTGGTGACCCCTCTGTCACTCCCTCATGGCCCCCCCAGGGATCCTGATTCCCAGGTTGAGAAACACTGCTGAATATGATTTGAGGTGACATTCTAACTCTTCTTTAAGGCTGTTTGGGACCCAGAAAAGTTATTTTTAAACTAGAAAGTAAACTAGAAATATCTTAAAACTTTAAAACATTTTCAGTACACTTTATAAAAAGAGGGGTGAAGGCATGTATGTACGGATTCAGTCCTGCAAAATGTTGGAGCCTTCCAGTGCCTGGGAGATAGCCACTTTTGATCTATTTCTAAAAATAAACCTCAGATTGTTCCTCCTGTTCAGTCACTGACAGGAATTTGCTTCAATACACACAACCAATGAAAAATGTATCTTATCTGCCCAGGCCGTAAAATAACCTAATTTCAAAGAAGCCAGTGTGTAAAATGTAATTTTATTGTGATGACAGCAATCCTGTCTGGTATTTTATGCAATGGCTGCTTTTAATGTCACAGCTGAGTTGGAGTGTCTATTGTAACCCATGTCTCATCTTGTCTGTTTCAAGACCCAATTTGAGGTAGCTCCGCAAATGAGGACGCTGCCTTCGGAATCTGATCATTCCCCTCCCAAGCACACACCTTTCAACACTTGGAGCCTTAAGGCTTGTGCTTTTAGAGGGGATGAATGTATCTTGGTCTCTAAATCACTGGGTAAACTGCAGAGCTGGAGAAAACACGGAGAGTGATATTTTAGACTGTGTGGATAGATAAGCGTTCAATATTTGGCAGCAACCAAGTCTGTCTGGAATGACTATTTTTCCATGTTCCAATAGGAACACTAGACTATGGGATTCATGGCTCTGCATCCCTATGGGCCACCTGTAACCTCCTTCTTGCTCCTTGATATAGACAGTACTGGATGTCTGCCAGTTCCTTCTGGGAACAGCAGATAATCAGAGGAGAAGCTATAAACCTGTCCTCTTCCTCCTCCACCACCACCTCTTCCTCTTCACCTACACCCCACCCCCATTCTCACATAGTAATTATTTAGGTTATCTCTAAATATACTCTAGATTCTTCTTGCCTGGAAGGAAGACGGAGGGCCTAAAGGCATTCACAATCATTCATCTTCTAATGAACAGTGTGAAATGTTGTCATTGGGATGTGCCTTTAAGTTATTTCTGACTTATGGCAACTGTAAGGCAAAATTACCACAGAGTTTTCTTGGAAAGATTTATTCAGAGGGACTTTGCAATTGTCTTCCTCAAGAGCTGAGAGAGTAGGACTTGCCCAAGTTCACCTCATGGCCAAACAAGGATTTAGACCAGTGATTCTCAACCTTCCTAAATGCAGTTCCTCATGTTGTGGTGACCCACAACCACAAAATTATTTTTGTTGCTACTTCAAAACTGTAATTTTGCTACTGTTATGAATCATGATGTAAATATCTGATATGCAGAATGTATTTTCATTCACTGGGCCAAATTTGGCACAAATACCCGATACACCCAAATTTGAATACTTGTGAGGTTGTTGATACTGATTTTGTCATTTTGGAATTGTAGTTGCTGGGATTTATAGTTCACCTATAAATGATGGAATTGATCCACTCTTGGCACACAGAACTCCAATGACCAATAGAAAATATTGGAAGGGCTTGATGGTCATTGATCTTGAATTTTTGAGTTGTAGTTCATCTACATCCAGAGAGCACTGTGGACTCAAACAATGGTAGATCTGGACCAAACTTGGCATGAATATTCAATATGCCCAAATGTGAATACTGGTGGAGTTTGGGGGGGGGGGGAGACTTGACATTTGGGAGTTGTAGTCACTGGGATTTATAGTTCACCTACAATCAAAGAACATTCTGAACCCCACAAATGATGGAATTAGGCCAAACTTCCCACACAGAACCCCCATGACCAACAGAAAATACTGTGTTTTCTGATGGTCTTTGGTAACCCCTTTGATACCTCTTGTGATCCCACCCCAGGGGTCCCAACCCCCAGGTTGAGAAATGCTGAATTAGGCTGTGATCTCCTAGACCTCAATTCCAACATACAGATTTTATTAAAGGAAAATTTACTTGCTTTAATTTTAGCTACCCTAATTAAACTACACAGAAATCAGGTTGGTTTCGCATGAAACCCATTTTTCCTCTCACTTGTTTGTCCAAATACTGGGAAAGAAGGTGTTGAAGTAATTAAATGTAATGCACTCTTTTTTTCCTAATGTAAGGTTTGTATATTTGAAAATAATGATTAAACATATAGCACTGTTTCATTGCCTAGGGAAAACCACACTTTTATTGTGAAGGTCTTTTAACTGACTCTCTTTGGGAGCTGCCTGGGGTCCCACTCTCAAAGAAAGATGGCAAATAAATGAGGTGGTGGTGATGATGTGAGCTACCAGACATTAATATTGCAAATATATGCACACTTGAACTTGAACTATGATGTGATAACATAGTTGGGTGTTCTTTCAAACATTCGCTGATTTTATATATGGTGGTCCTTTGGGGGCAAATCCACAGTATGAACTATAAAATGCAACAGCAAAGCAACAAAATAGCAATGAAGGGCAGAATTATAGTACAGACCAAGACACAACTTGAGTATCAGAGAGCCTAAGAAAATACAAAGGTCTTTCACCCAAAGGAAGCATAGTTACCAAAGAGTTTCAGGAGACAAGATTGCCATACATGAGATGCCAAAGCCAATGGCAGTCATCTGTCTAGTCACTAGCCACATTATTTCAGCTAGTGAGATGCCCAAAAGGAAGTCTCCAATGCCAGTCTTAGTATTTGGACAGCATAATGCAAGAACAGGGTGAAGAACCTTTGCCCCTCAGATGTTTTGGGCATCAATTCCCAGAAGTTACATCCGCCATGGCCAACGGTAAGGGATTATGGGAGTTTGAGTTTTTAAAAAAGCACCCAGAAACCCATTTTTTGTACCTCGATACAAGAGAAGACTATCCTGTGGCTACCCAAGCCAGAGCTTTAAGTTACAACATGTACGAAACTACTGGTATCCCATTTCACCATCAATAAAATGCCATTCTCTGTTCTGCTCAGTTCACAAAAACTGTCAAATTACACTCCAAGAGGGAAAATGGCAAGAGATAAAATGAGAAATGGGCCAACTTTCTCCCACAGTAGCCAACAAAAGCTAGTGTTTAGCAATCAATGTATAAATCTGTCTTTTCAAACAGTCTGAATAACACTGTCAACACTTTCATAAAATCCACTTTCATTTCTATGGGGAATATATCTGTAGCATTTGGTATCACAAATTTCAACCTAACAGGAAGACAACAATTCTTTGTTTTCTGTGTGTAATACAGATGGCATGCACAATGCAAAGGAAATTTTGTTTTTAAGGACATCTTTTGATTTTCAGTTTTATCCTGTGATGTTGATCTTTTCGGTTATTTCTGCACCTTTCTCTCCCTGTCCAGCTAAGAAAATATAAGCAGGATTCTTGGGTTTGACTTTTTCAGATAATATGGTTTTATTTTGTTATTTCTCCCTTGCTGATATAGGAGCCTAATGGTTAAAGTGGGAAAATGGGGTTGTATTGGGGATGTTTGTCTGTCTTCATTCACAAAGAATGCAATCTCCTAGTCAGGTAGCAGTCTTCTACATGGAGATCATAGGCAAGATCTCACAGTGATTAACAATCAATGGTCCTTTGGGCAGAGCAACAATTTCTATCTCCAAGGATGCAGCTGACTAAGCAAAACAGTTGTGCCGACTGGCATGAAATATACTGAAAAAGTTATAATGAAAAAATTAAAGGGAACAGTTCACAAGCCTTGGGAAGGGAGAAATTGTTGCTGTGAGCACATAACATTTTTGTCTTTTGGTTTGCTTGTTCAGAAAGACAGACAGTAAGAGGTTGCCTTTCTTCCTCTTAACAGCAAAAAGAACCTCACCCACAAAGCCACGTTCTCCTCTCTAAAAGCAGATGTTCTGAAACACA